TATATATATATATATATATATATATATATATATATATATATATATATATATATATATATATATATATATATATATATATATATATATATATATATATATATATATATTTATTTATTTATTTATTTTTCTTTTCCCACACGAGGTGGCATCGCTTAAAATATATATATATACATATATATATATATATACATATATATATATATATATATACATATACATATATATATATATACATATATATATATATATATATACATATACATATATATATATATACATATATATATATATATATATATATATATATATATATATGCCGTCATATCGCCGAGCGGTATTATTTGAAACTGTATACCTTGCTATTAATAACATTTAGAATCAAGTGCAGCAAGTGCAAGAACAATAAAGTTTTTTAACAATGCAAAGTCAATGAGTACTCAATAAACATACCTAGAAGGTATCCTTTTAATCACCTACTGCATATGTGCTGCATGTTTAAGTTCACACTTAAGGTAAATGGATAAATACTTGATGAGGTCACCCAGAGAATACTTACATGATGCCAATTGAACATTTTCTTCTGCAAACACATCTCCGCCACCAGGGCCATCAAAAAGATCAATTCGTTTATTTTCACTTGCATGCCTGCAGTACACAAATAATTATATAGAAAATGTGTTGCAAGAAACTGGTTAAGAATGTAAAGTAATAGTTGCAATATTAAACAAATGTATTTTCTGTAAAAAGACTAATAAGAAGCGACTTATGAAGTCAAGCCAAAAGTTATAACAGAGATGAAGGATTGAATTCATACTGTAGGAAAATATTACAAACTAAGTGAGAAATAAAATACAGAAAAATAACAGGAGGAAGATCAAAAACATAAGAGCGGGATGGACAAGAAGTCATACACTCTTCTCAAGGAAATTTCTTGTGCATATTATAAAGTTTCTGTAAAATAACTGAAATAATTTCTTCAACAGGATATGCTATCTAATTATAATTCCTTCAACAGGATATGCTATCTAATTAGAATTTTCAAAAAATACCAACTTTAAGGTAGGTTGATTAGAGACAGAACTAACATGAAAAAACCTAATTAAAATTTGGACCATGCCAACCAAGCACCATTCTGTCCATCTATGTATTCTGGAGTGTCTACTATTGGTGCACCATTCCAAGGATTTGATGACTTCTCTGCTCCAGCAACATAAATATGCCAAACTAAGTTGCCTTTCCACAGAAAAAAGTGGAAAGAGATACCATAAATGCATTGCTCTATTGATAAATTAATTAATCAGTTCATGTTTGCATTTGTAGAGAATTTCCAAACCACATATTCATGATGAATGATAAGTCCATCAAGAGCAGAATGGCTGTGTCCACTCTCAAAATAGTTATATTTGCATCATCAAAGAAGAAATCATGAAGGAAACGATTTTACATCATAGTTCCCTATTATTTCTTTGCATCAATATGGTGAATGGGCAAGAATTAAACACGTGGGTTAAAAGAAAGCTTCATGATGAAAACAGCAAGTGAAGTAAATAGCACAGAGAGAAAAACTTACTGCTTCTTTAGAGCAACATAAGAGTTCAGCTCTTTGATCTGCAAAATTGAAGCTAATTAATCAGTAAGCTGTCAGTTTTCAACATAATATTATCCAATATGCCAAAAAAAACTAGGAACTTTAGGAGACAAAAGGACACCATTGATTGCTTTTTCTCGTTCAGCATCCTGTTCGTGTTGTGAGTATTTCGACTCTCCTCTTCCTTCACGGCTCTCTCAAACTCTTTGATAAGCCTAGTTAGACACATTGATGCAGAACTCGAATCAGAAATAAGTGTGATTATTAGGCAACAGAATGACAAAACCTCAAATTATTTGTGATGTAACACATGGGTTCCATTTGTTGCTTTCATCTTTAAAATGCCACATTAATTATAGGTAAAAGCCAAAAAGAAGCAAACAATTTGAAATTCATGAATGTAAGATCTAGAGTAATATTCATTAAGATGTTCAAAAAGGCAGCAGTTTGGTCAGTTCCTGAATTTGGATGATAGACATGCATTACGGATTCTAGCTGCATACAAAACAGCTGACTGCATCATAGACTTCCAATTCGAACAATGCTTGTCATACTTCTGATGCATAGATTACCAAAATGCAACACAGTTCCTCTCAAACATTCATATATTTATTTCTCAAGCACTGCACTTCTCGTGATTAAAATAAATATTTTGCTTTAAAAGATCCGTGTAACTGGTCAGTCAGAAACTACGTAGCCTGAACATATGTAGCCTCTCCATGCATTGGTCAATCAGAAACTAAGGTAGCCTGAACATATGTAGCATCTCCATGCATTGGTCAGTCAGAAACTAATTCACAAACATAGCTTGTAATCAAAAAGTTAAGAAAAAATATGGGATAAATGATTGGCACATTAATCCGGACATTAAAGAAAGAGCAAGAAAAACACCAGAGACAAAGACCCACTAACAAGAACCATTCTGCAGCAAAGAAAATAGATATCTAAGAATGTACCTCTTGCATTCCCTCATCTTGTCAGTCAATTCTTCTAACTGCCGACTCCGTCTATTTGGGTCTTTGATCTTCTCCAGTTTCTGAAACCCATTTCTGTTGAACATTTAATAAACAATCAGTCATCAAACTGACAAGTATAAACGAAGCATATCCACATCAACTATGACTGAATAATCCATAGCAATTATCCTTTTTCTTCGGTGCACCATGTGAACCACAAAGATAGTATGAACAGTAACATCATTCGTTAACGCTTTCCTTTTCCTTTCGGGATAATATGTATACTTAAGCACATGATCTTTCACGGTTGATACTTCTCAATTCTTTTTTCCAAATAGAAACTTTCTTTTGCCTTTTTTTGGGGTGGGGAGGACGAGAGATGTCGGTTCTTCGTTTTCCAACCAATGAGATCACAGCACACATTGAGGTTACCACTTTGCAAATTAAAAATTCTAATATTTAGAGAAGTAATTCTTACCACAACATTTTCGTAAATCTCAAATTCCTACATCATGTTTTTCCTATTTATATTTTATTTTCATGTCTTGGAGAAGAAAGACTAAGAGAACGTTTGTGGCCATGACGAATTATTCCACATCCTTCCCATCACCAAACAGAAACGTTAACGTTCCAGGAAAGAAAGAAGCCATGTATGCTTACGATAAAGCCCGAAAGACATCGTTGATCTGCCCCTCGATAAGAGCCAGCTCCTCGCTAACATCAGACAAATCCATCTCGCAAACGGGAATTCTTCGTCAACGAGATTCACGACTCGAATACCAAAACTCGCCAAAACCGGCCGAGAACCCAACTTTCAGGTCCCCCGACGCATCACGATCCCCGCCACTCCGCGCTACGGGCCGGAACTCAAACGAGATCCACGGCGTCGAGATCAAGCGGCGCGCCCGAGGCGACCACCGATCGCCCGCGAGATCGGCGACCCGGGAATGGGAGAAGCCACCGTCGATCGGCAATGCGGGACCCGACCGAGGCCCAGGAGGGGCGGAGATCTAGGGTTCTCGGATGGCCGCCCGGGTCGTCGTTGCGGACACGATGTCGGGAACGGTTGCGAAGGCCTCGCACAGCTGGGCTTCTAAACTGGAAGGTTTCCATTTTCTTATTATTCATGTGTCTTATATTTATCGAGGGGTATTTTTGTACATCGATCCCAGCTTTTGAGCTAATTACCGATCAACCCCTGTCTTTTTCACTATTTAATTAATTAAATTAATAATAAAAATTATCACATTTGTATCTTTAAATCGAATGTTTGTTAATAATATTATTTTATTTTTCCAGTTAGGATGAAATATGGATTAAGTTGGAACCTATTGGAGTTTAATGCAGAAACGAATGATATTTTTATAATATAAATAGCAATAAAATGTGATCCGTCCGTAAATAAATAATTTAATTTGTATATCTTAAAAGAACAGTGAAAATTTTTGGATAATTAAAATTTAGGTCTTAGGTTGCTTAATTGATAATAGTATGAGTCTGTCATAATTCAATTTCGTATCAATCGCAAATCTTGGCTTAAGATAGAAATATCCAAATGGATTTGTTAAATGAATTATAGAGAGAAGATAAAGACCATGAAAAATTTATAGTTTAGGGCCTCTAATGATAAATGATTAGAAAAATAATCTCCTAAATCATTCTTGATATGAAAAATATTTTATTATGATATAATTTGTGATGACGTACTAAATTGGATTTGACTTATGATATTTTTGTCAGCAAAAATTACGATATGTAAAAAACATGAGATTATTTATAGAGATCTCAATATAATTTTTAAAAATATAAACATCGAGATACAAAAGATAATTAATTATAAGAGTAATCTAAATATAATTATGTAAACACAACATCATCATCATCATCATCATCAGTATAAATGGTTTCATTTGTAGAAACATGGGGAATTGGAACCAATACAATGTTTGTCTGTTACCTATTAAAGGAATATTGTCTGCAACTGAGGGTATAATATTGAAGCTATGTATTAATGAGCAAAGTAATCATCCTTCAGCGACAACTCAATGCAGAAACAAAAAGAAGATTAGATGGTGGGGACGACTACACATGGCCAATGGGAGGTCGCTTTCTCAGCCTGCCGCGTGTCGCTCGTATCGCCGCCTCCTTCGGTGTCGGACTCGAGGCTTCTGCTGTCTGCGAAGCGTGTGCATCTGGGCCTGATTCCGGTGGCTGGACTCCAGTCTTCGTCGTCGTCGTCAACTGTTCTTCCGGCTGGTTCTTCGCGGGGCTACCCGACGCTCGTGTTTCTGCTCGAGCTGGCTCGGTTGCTGCAGGTGGCGACGAAGACGGCAACTCATCTGCTTGCTTCTGTTCAAACAAGCACACAAGAAACAGAGAGATTAATCATAGTCAAAGGTAGTGAATTCAATCATGACTCCTGCAGCAATGACAAAGAAGAACTGAACCAGAAACATGAAGCATATTGCTCATAGGGACTCATCATCTACAGGATTAATTGGTCAAGAAAGAGCATGAAGTAAAAAAAACGTAGCTTGTTGTCAACCAGTGAATATGGAGCGAGAAACAAAAGTAATCGGATAAGAAGAAAAGCTCAAGCATCAAATCTTATCAAAGCCTAAATTTGCAAGGATTTCTTTCCATGCTCGAACTTGTTATCTTCCAGGTGACAAGGTTCTCCAAGCAGCATGATGATATCAAGAACTTACTAGGATGGTACTTCAAAGTCTCAAATTGTTTGCTTCAGAACTTGCATGGAACACAGATGAGAATCAAAGAAACATCCAAGGTAAGTACAAGGCTTGCTAAATGTTCCTCAAGAAAAAATATGCATGTGACAAAGGCAGGAAATCCCCTGACTCTTATCAAATGTCCAAACTACTTAGTCAATGTTAGGCACAGATGCAAAACTAAATGAACATGTTCTTCCTCGAAAATAGAATTAAACAGATCCTTTTACTGTCATACATGTTTAACAGCATCCAAATGCAACATTAAAGAACTACTTGATGATAATTCCCATAAGAAGTAACCAGAAATTGCACATGTTTCATACCATTGGAATAGACACAAGGATTGTGTATACATCTCTTGAATCGTTTCATGTGAGGAGACAACGGGAATAAGCATCAGAAACACAGTATCATGTAAAAGATATATAAACAGCAAAGTTCAAGTTTTAACACACAGAAAAAACATTGGAAATCTTGTAAACAACTGTCTGTCTACATTAAAATAGAACAACAGGTATATTTGCAACTTTTCACACTCCTCTATCAAATTTAATCTTCCAGTTCTCGCTGATATCTCATAAATTAAGTAGCAAACGATACATTCATTTATTTATGGAGAAAAACACTATGACTATGATTGAGCATTTAAAGGAAGAAAGTTGCATATTAGATGTCACTGAACCGAGTATGATAAATGAAGCTAACTTGCCAAAGATCTAACAATAAGATGCAATTATTTTACATGATAATTAATGACATTGCTACTTTAAATGTTAGAAGAATCAATCACATGAGAAGTGAAAGAATAACCCACAACTGTTAAATTTTCTATGCAGAAACAAAAAAATCACTTGGCACCAACAAAGGAAAATTTCAGCATAATCAACTAAAAGAAAGAACTACAACCAAAGACAGTAAGAACCAATTTGTCCTGATCAACCATGCCTGAGATGGGTGTGTTCTTGATGCTTGTAACAGTAAGGTAACACGGTTCAACACGTCAAAAAAACTTATCCTGCCATAGCCGGAAGCCTTCTGCCAATACATCAACATGATATCTGCAAACCTTGCTCTAAACTCAAGCAAATGGCGATCGATCTCAATTTCATGTTTTGCGATATATGGCCTGAGGAAAGTACCATAGACAAATGTTGTTCCCTGAAACCAATTATATTCATAAGATTCAACAGGGCAGAAAGAAAAGATCTCAACTGGGAAAAGGGCTGCCGGAAGGAATGTCTTACTCTCATCTTAGGATACCATAAGTATATGTAGAGTGCCAATTTTGCTTCACAGTACATTGGCAGCCTTCAAGAACATACAAGTAAATAACAAGAGAAAATAAAAGAAATGGAATTTGATGTATCATAAAATTAAAATACAGGTACTGACCATGAAAAGAAAACATCCACTAATCTCTCCAAGATGGCCAATGATGCAACTAAAATCCTGCAAAAAGAACAAAAACGTATGCTGTCTTTTCCTCAAACATACCAAAATAAAGTGAAACTAATTGCTTGATCTAATGCAGATTAATTTCTACTGACCAATACTGACACCAGAAAAGCAACTGTTCGATCTCCGGCTTGTTCAATTCCACGGTCTTGTAGCACTCATAAGCTGGGTAAGCATACCCAAAAACCAGTCTGCCAATTGCAGATGCATCAAACCCCTTACCTCATCAAGTGCAAAAGACTCATCCAAAGCATTAAGGTCATGAATGCTTACATCAAGCCCCTACTAAGAAATGACCCCATCATGATGGCCGCTATTCATGCACGAGTAACAACTGTTCAATGATCCGCTTTGCAACGGAACCTAACATTGACAAAAGCACAAGCAAGCCGAAAGGAAAATCTCATTGCTTCAAATTGCAGCAACTTTATTGGACGAAATGCCATACAGAAATACTTCACGGAGAATTCACAGCTAGCAGGGAGTTGCAAGGCTAAACCATCATAAGGAATCTAAAATGTACAAGGCAACGTAGGGAGGCATATGAAACACGAGAAATCCATGAAAAGAAAGATCTGCGACGAACATTTCAGCATTTGAGGTGTATTATTTGCAGAACTACACAGTTAAGGCGCAATCACCCGGTGACTTGAACATGAAATCCAAGCACGAAAGAAAAAAGAAGGAAATCCGTCTCTAGTGGCCACACGACAACGAAAACGGAACAGAAAACCGAAAGCGAACAAAAAACAAACGGCTGCAAATGCGGAATCAACGGAACGAAGAGACGGGAAGGGAGACACGGTCGAACCTTTCGATGCTCGGACGAGAGAAAGAGATGGCGAGCGAGGAATTCGAAGAGGAATCGTATTTATTGATGTACCAAGGATCGAAACATGCGACGAATAGCAATAGAGAGGAAGAGCGATGGCCTCGTCCTGTTCCGTTTTCGTTCGCCTTCCTCTCTCTCTCTCTCGTATTTGCCACCGGAATTAGACGTCGCAATCGAGACGAAGGCCGAATCAACGAATCGGGAAGAGCCCGCGTGGAAGCGGACAAGTTTGGGCGTGAGAATGGACGGCTGAGATGGATTGACAGGACGGTTACACGGATCGGACGAACGTCGAGACGTTCGCCCACGAGAGAGATGGTTGAGATCACCAGCCGTTCGATCGACTGGGGGAGTCGTAAAAGAAGAAATGGTTGATTGCTTGTTCTGTTGTAGTCACATCTGCTTATGAATACAAAATCTTTGTCAGTTAAACTAATTAAATTTATTTCAAATAAATCTTTTCATCTCTTTAATGGCTTATGATGCATCTAAACATGATTTTATTGACTAAGCTAAGCTAACAACTTCTATTTAAAGCTTTCTTTTTTTTCGTTTAATCAATTTTCTATCCTTTGATTAGCATAATCTAAGTTAGGAATTCAATTTAGTGGCAAGTGTTTCACCATAAAGGCATCATTCTTCCAACCCCACAGTATGTAGAATCCTCTATGAGCAGTAGAGACCACAACAAGAAACACAATTACTGCAATCATCACTATAAAGAAAAGGCAGTTTGAAGTGGCAAACATCAAAAAATGCAATGAGAAAACTTGCAGATTCATTTGCACATCATACTGAAACAGCATAGCCATTACCCTACAAAGCAACCATAGCATGTATGTAGATAATAACTTGGACATCAGAAATTGTCAACAGCTTTATGACTAATTTCATTCCTTCCGGTCATTAAAAAAAACCCAACATCACCAAGAATCGGCATCGAATATCCCATTTTCAGCAAATTCTTGAGCAATGTGATCCATTTCTGGCAAACCCATGTTCTGGGGCAAGTCAGGTCTTGAATTGATAATGTTGCCACTTATGGTGGGGTTGCTGGCGGTGGCAGCAGATTGGAAGCTGTAACTTTTGCTTCCCATTCCTCCTGTGCCATTGTTACGCAGGTTTGTCGGCATACTTTGGAGCTCGAGTGCATTTCTGATTGATCCAGTGTCTATCCTGACCGGTGTACCAGTAATGTCACCTCCAGTAACATCTCCAGCTGCCAGACCAGCATTTGCATTAGGAGCAATAACAGCTTGTTGTGATGCTCCCTTGTTATTCATCATCTCTTGCAGCATTTGCTGAATCACATGTTGCTGCATATGTTGGTTCACCTGGGGGTTTTGCGGGTTGTACTGCTGCTGCAAGCGAATGTCCAATGGAGGTTGCGGCCGATGCTGGCCAGATAAATTACTTACAGATGCATCAATGGAAACTGATGAGGCAGAACCTTGGAATTGTAGAGGCTGTGCATGATTGGAACCACTTAAAGAACTCAAAGCTTCCTCCTGAAGCACATTCTGCTTTAAATTCAAGGTGTTCCTCAGCATATTCTGAAAGCTGTTCAGTGCATGAACACCCTGTTGGCTGCTGTTAGCGGCTTGGCTAGCTGCCAGATTGTTGTTAATGTAATTGTTTAACCCTGCTTGGATGCCTGTGGCTTTTTTCAGGGTGCTCGGATCACCTGGCAGAGCGTGAGAACTCATGGCTTGCTCCTCGTCCAACTTCTGCTTTTGGTGCTTCGCTGCGGCATGCCTTGGATAGTTCTTCAAACTCTCTGTGGAGAATAATTACCACATTAAAAGCGTATACCTTTAGTTAAATTCTGCAACAATCATCCTCCATTAAATTAGTATGGTCTATGCAACAGAAAGTTGGAAATCAATTCAAGAAATGCAAGGCACTCGAATCCTCATCTAAAATTTGCTCTTTTCTGGAACACTGAGGAAGAAAAGATGAACAGACCGATTTAATTCAAGAATGTAAAGGGATCATAAATACTTCTCACAGAAACTAAGTCATAACAAAAGAATTCAAAGTAAAACAGATCAAAGGAAGGACAGATAACTCTGGAATCAACATATAAATTCCTTAGGTTATAATACAAAGATTAAAAAGAAAATGTAGCCTCAATGTCTTTGGTTGACGGATAGCTTCTGAAACATTTTGGAACTTCTTAATGTTTAATCGGGAATTCAGTTGACAAATTATTTGATATCAGACATGACACAAATGGTTTTGGTACAAAAATTATGTAAATTTAGATGTTAAAATGTTAATGCCTTAGCATGAGATGTCAAAATCAAAAGGTGAACATTGCCCTTGATCAAGAAGGTTTTAACCATAAAGTTGGATTTCAGAGGCAGCACCGACTAGGGAACATCTAGGTGCATATATATAATAGAATAGCACACTGAATCATTAGACTCAATTTTATGAGCATTACCTATTGCTCCAATCTTCTGCTCCTGGCTAAAATCAATCAAGTCCTTCATGCTACTGACAACCTCAGATATCTAACAAAATGAAAAATAAACAACTATATGAAGAAAATGTAAATTTCAGGACATTAATCTATTTCCACATAATGCACAGGACACCAAAATAACTTCTTAATTACCTGCAAGCACCGGACATATCTTTTGGAGAATCCCAAGTCATTCAGAGATTGCAGGTCGAAATTTCTTGCTAGTTGACGACCTATTGCTGCAAACCTAAAAACATCATGAATCAAGAAGCAACCATGCATGTTAGTTAAAGAAAATCAAACACATAAAAAATTGAGCATGGTCACAGTCAGAAAAGAAAAGAACATCACAAAACAGCCACTTACCTGGGAAAAACTAATCAAATACCCCACCAATACTACTAGATCTTCAGGATTCCTTTTCACATGTACATTACCGAGTTGTGGTAGCTTTCAAATAGCATACCAAATATTACAAAGAATAGCCTCTGCCACAATGGGTTTGTTTTTCTTTTAGCCTTATGTCAAACTATAGGATCATTAAGTCCATCAATGTGTTCATATATCATAGTTCAGTGATTTAAAAAGCGCTAGGCGCCAAAAGGCGCCAAGGTCCACAAACGCCCGAGGCGCTCGCCCAGGCGCTCGCCCGAGTGAAGCGAGGCGCTAAAATATAAAAATATATAATATAATTAATAATTTCAAATAAATAAAAATAAACAACTTTAAAATCAAAATAATATATTATTAATCTATTAACAGAAAATTAATCATTTCAAAATTCAAATAAACTTAATATTAAGAGTATACTGTATACTGAGCCTGATGGAGAAACGAGGAAGCAGCGGCGAGCGACGGCAACAGCAGCGGTGAGCGACGACAGCGGCAACGGGAAAGGGAAAGGGAGCGGAAGGCACAAGCAGCGGGAGGGCTCGCGGGAGA